GGAAGCGCAGGACCGCGGTGGGGGGGGGGGCTTGATGAGTCCCAAGCTCAGGGAGAGTCGTTGTAAGGGTGGTGGGCTGACCTTCAGGGAGATGAAAGAGACCAAGGACCGGCAAGGACCCGGCAGTAAGTCCTCAACTAGGCAAGAAGCGCCCTGCCCTAGACCCCTCCTTTCCCCACCCTCACCTCGCCCCGGGCCCGGCCTGGGATCCTGGATCTTCAGATTTCCTCCCTGGGGCGCTCCGCTGGTTCTGTCTCCCTGAACCAATGGCCAAGGGGGGCCCGTGGCGGGGGCTGGGCTGTGGAACTTGAACCTGCGGGCAGCACCGCGTAGGTGGTGAGAGGCCCTTCAAGGAGGTGGGACCTGGGGGCAAGAGGAGGGGAGGGGCTGGGACCCGGTCTGGCTGCCCCCGCACAGCCACGTTCGCGGGCAGAGCTCCCGGGGCCGAGCGCTGTGAACCACCCCCTTCCACAGCCTCATGCAGCGCACTGGTCAGTGTGAAAGGAGAAGCGTTTTCTTATAACAGTGTTTCGTGGGATCTGTATGTTCAGACAAATGATATTTTCATTATACTTTCCCTGGGCCAACAAGTCGGGGGCTCTACCCCTGTTCACGGTCCCTCCTGTTCCTTTTTTAACAGTCACTCCGTAATGAACACATCTAACCTCTGAAGTTTTGGTTTGCTTTTGGTTTTTTGTTGTGTGTAGATTTTCAATGTCTCTACAGCGGTACATTTTCTCTTCCAAATGCAGAAAGCGTCAGGTTAATTAGACCAACCGGGTCAGTTTGAGGGTCAACGTAATGTCGCTGGGGAAATTCTGAACTGTGGCATAAATGCGAAATCTAACATCCATTTTTTCACACCACCCTCACTGGGCAGAAAGTAGCTTGCAGGGCGTGGAGTCTGGGATTTAGGGGTAGGATTTCAAGGTAGGGCTGTGGGTTACTCAGCTCTGTCATTTGGTTCATTTACAACCTGGGTGACCAAGGGGAAGCCACCTTGACTGTGACACAGCAGCTGCCAGCAGCAAACAGAGCCCGTCCCCTCCCCCCGCAACTAAAACCAGGTCAGCGCTGGCCAAACAGAATGGCCCGTCCTCAGTCCTCGTGGAACATTTGTTTTTAGCCACCACTTGTTTGCCGTAACCCTCCATCTGTTGACCGTATACTCAAGCGATGCCCTTCCCGAGGGTCTGGCTGACTCAGGCAGAGCGTGAGGGATTGGGAAGCAATCGCTAACTGGCCCTTTCATCGGAAATTAGTTTGTTTCTTTTTTGCATGTTTGTATAAGTGAATGCGTTTGGGGATCTGGGGCTTAAGTTATTTTCATTATTGAGTCAAAGGATGCAACTTGAAATAGCCAGTGAGATTTAAAAAACAAAACAAAAAGCTTCCAGCTAGTCTGAAGGCAAAACTATGTCATAAAGCTTTATGATAATCAAATAAAAATATCAGATCGCTTATTAACCACCTTAGATTATTGTAGTGCGTAAAGAAATAAATAAGTCAGTTAAAAGGCAACAAAGTTAAAGCCTTAGATGTATACTGTCCTTACTTTTCTAAGAATATATGATCTGATCATATCTACAATAACACATACTATACAGGGGTGGGCAAATAGGTCTACACAATAGAAATAAATAATACAGTAATCAATAAGTAAGAATGCAAGAACACACTCCATGTTTCGCATACTCACAACTGTAAGCCTACTTTTGCCCCACCCTGTGTGTACACTTATCCATACATACCTCTACCGGGGGTCCCCAAAAATGTACACGCACTTTGAATGATTATAAAATCAGTGTTTATTAACATACAGTTCATTTTTAAAATTTAAAAGAATCTACAGAAATGAAAATTTTTCTTGTCAATGCCTCGTTTCAAACTGATGGCCGTTCTGGTCCAGGCACCACTGTTACCTCTAAGCAGCGGAAACACAAACATCAGGAATCATTTTGTTCGGTAACTGTGCGCCCTCTCGCGCACTCAATTCGTCCACCGTTGCTGGTTTTGTACCATAAACTTTATCTTTTTTGTGTCCCCATTAAAAAAGTCTAGTGGCACTTTAGGATGAATTTTCTTTGTTCAAAGCTTAGTCTGGCTTCACCCATTATTTCAAATCAGTTAAACCTGAAAAATAGTGGAAATTAAGTGAGTTGTCAGCTGTTAAAGTTTGACATTTTGGAGGACACCCTATGTACATACTTGATAATCCATCGTCTCTCAGCAAAGTGTTACAATAAATCTGTTATTTAACTGAATACTAGGCTTCTTTACCAAAATTGGCCTCTAAAATCTTGGAGCTTTGGGAATTTCCTTTTTATCTTTCTTCAAACTCACTGATTCTTTCTGCAGCCATGTCAAGTCCAGTCTGTTCACCACAATAGCTTTACATTTTGGGACTTGTGTCAGGTGAATTCTGTGGAGAAAATATGCAGTGATGGGGGTGGGGGGTGAAGACAGGATGAAATCTCGCATAGAGCAGTCCCCAACAGCCTCCCTGAGAAGGTGACATTTGAGCAAGGACCTGAAGGAGGCGGACAGGGCTCCATGCAGATATCAGGGCCAAGAGCGTTCAGGTAGAGGGGCAGCAAACTCAGAGGCCTGGGGACAGCAGCCTGCCTGGGGTGGTCAGGAGCAGAGAGCAGGCCTGGCCTGGCCAGAGTGCAAAGTGCAAGGGAGAAGGAGCCCTCTGGATGATGCCACGGGTAGGTGACAGGGGACCTGGGAGGCCACTGCAGTGACTTTGGCAGTTACTCTTAGTGAGGTGGAAAATCTTGAGGGGAGGAAGGGAACTGCACAATATTTGATGCACATATTTTAACAAGATTCTTTTAACTGTTATCTCAGTAAACCAACTGACTGGGGCTGAAGGCAGATGATGCTGGGCACTGTGAGGCTATGATATAGACTAAGGAGACAGCTTTGGCTGCAAACAATGACCCATCATCGTGGGTCAATGACCCTACACAGACCGTGTGTGACGAATTTGGAAAAACCAGAGCGCCTACCACCATTCACACCTACCTCTGTAGAGTCTTCATTTACCAGGCCCTGGTTTCCCCCTTGCCACCCCGTCTGACTTTTCCTTCCCTTTCTCCCAACACTACTATATTCTGTATGCATGTCTTACATTTCTAGCTTTGGTATTTTTAAACTCCGCCTTCACACTAGGTTTGTACCTGTTCATTTCCCACATTGACGTTTCTGTGATGAGCACAGGTACAGGTGCCCCTCCATGGTCTTCTTAAATATCTTGGCTCCTTCCGGCTCTTCCCTTCTAACCACACGCTATATCTGGCCCTGTTTATTATGCTTCATTGCCCCGACCAGGTGTTTCAGGTAATTATCCAGTCTTCTGGTAATGGTGTTGATATTCGAGCTATCATTGGCGTCAGTCCTTAGTTAGGAGAACACTGGAATACAAACTCTGAAGACAGGCTAATTTTAAATTCTGCTGCTTATTTTACCTGGCATTAAAATAAAGTCAAACCAGTTTTTCTCAAATTGGAGGGCTGTAAAGGGTCGCTTGTAAAGGGAAAAAATCCTCAAACATTCCTAAGATTGAATAAAATTATTTTTTTAAAGCAACATTTCTTAAATATATCTAGATATAAATTTAGATATAGACATTTTATGCTTCTACAACCAGAAGGCCAAAATGAAAATTGATAAATGAAAACACAAAGCCAAAAGTAGGCAAGTTAGCTCTGGATAGGGCAAGATGCTGTCATCTTCCTGAAACTAAGTCAGTGCTTGGGGTACACATGGGGCCCTGACTGGTGGGCCCCGGCCAGACTGGGGGACCCTCACTTGTGAGAATGTGTCCCTGGACTCAGCTCTGCCTTCTTCCTTCCTCGTTGATCTCACAGAAACTGAAATATGGCTCCTTGCTCGCGAAGAGAGTTAAAACTCAACACCTGACACGAGGCCGAATTTCCACAGCAGTTTTTGGTTGACTTGCAGGCAGCGTAATGACCCAGAATATAATTTTCTGAATTGATTAGATAGTCAACTCTCTAATGAGCAACTTCGCCAAAGACCCTCCAGAGGGAGAGCTCAGCTCAGACTCGTCTGCTGACATCTGGGATCTAGCTTTCGTCTTTATGGCCTTGGATGTGCCTGTCGCAGTTAATTTACCACGATTTTCACCAAAATATTTCCCTTGGGATTTTCATTCATTTTCTTGGACAATTGTCAGGTGATTGCATCACCTGGTTATATTTATGAACTACTCAGAGCGTGAAACACTGTAATAGCGGGACTGTATCAGATACAGTGTCAAAGAGTAAGACTATGTCCTGGCATTTTACCTGACTGCAGACTTTCAGAATGGGACCTGACCCCGTCAGAGTCGTGACTGTGACTCATTTCTTTCTCCAACAGCTGGCTGCCCCGACTCCTTGATTAAAGAGCTCCATCACTTCAGGATCCTTGGAGAAGAGCAGGTGAGTCAGCGGCTCGAGGCCACGCAGTGTCGGGGAGACACTCGCTAATGAAACGGCCTGGGCTCCAGGGAGGCGGCGTGTCTCCTGACCCCCGGCATCCAACATGGGGCGGAAGGCGCACTGGGGACTGTGTGAGGACACCCCCCCTCCCGGTCCCTCAGACCTGAGGGCTATTGATTGGTGCAGCTGCTCTCGGCCGGAGCGTTTCTTCTCCGAAGCCAGAGCGAGCAGGCAGGAGGGCAGATAAGCAGACAAATGGGTGCGAGATGAATTACGCCCGAGGGACAGGCCGCCCAGACACCGGAAGCGCTGTCTGCGGGCGGGGGGCCAGCTCTTCTCCGGGTGAGACAGAGCATGCCCCGTTTAAGGTCATGGAGACACCGTGTGCTCAGTGAGACCGGTCCAACTTAAATAGACGTGCTCCATGCATGAGGCAGGTGCTAAATAATATATGTGTCAGATATATAACATATGACTTATTTGTAAATAATGCACACACCCCTACCTCTGACTGCTTAAAAGTAAATTTCTCCATCCTTATATGGATGACAGGCTCCATATTATAATGTTGAGTCTTCATGTCAAGTTGTCCCTAAACCTGGGAGTGAGTGAGTCTGGAGGGAGCTCGGTGGGCCTGGGCAGACGTCCTTCTGTCGCGTTCAGCTGTGCAGGCGCGGACGGACAGAGAGACGGCGGGCGGTGAGGCCGAGCCAGCGCTGCGAGAAAGACAGGAGGAGGGGTGCGCATGGAGGGAGCGGGTGTAGCGACCGCAGGGGGTTCCAGCGGGGCGGGCAGAGCAGCGGGGGGCAGAGCAGCGGGGGGCAGAGCAGCGTGGGCAGAGCAGGGGTGCGAGGAGAGCGGCCGGGGCAGAGGCGGAGGCCGCCTGGCTGCAGGCCCCAGTGGGCTCAGAGTCTGGGGGGTCCTGGGCACTAGAAGTTTTGGCTGGAAGAGTGGGAGCTGGCGGAAGAATAGGGTGCCGGACAGAGTCGCGGAGGGGCGCAGTGACGGGCAGTGACAAGGCCGGGGAGCACGGGGGTGTCGGCAGCTGCCGTAGGTAGAGACGGGCGATGGAGAAGTGGAGACTGTGCCTGGGGAAGCCGGGGTGTTGAAGTGTCACCCATGTGGACACTGAGATCCTCCAGCGTGACCCCAGAGCGGAGGTGGGGGAGCTGCACCCCATTTGAGAACTGGGGCGGGTGGGGAGAGGAGAGAGGCTGAGGGGGGCGCGAGCCCGCTGCAGAGGAAGAAATAGCGAGAGCGGAGCCTGGGGTTCGAAAGTCGGGGCTGCGGGTTTGGAAGGAGAGGGAACGCCCCGGGGACACAGCGGGGTGATGCCGGAGGGAGCGGGCCAGGGGCTGGGTGGGCGTGCGCAGGGGCGATGGGGCACATCTGTAATAGCGTCCACATAAAAAGAAATGAAAAAGAGAAAACTCTCGTACCTGGGACACTGCAGAGCGGTGTCCGGTGGGACCCAGGGTGCGTGGAGAAGACATCAGGGGCTGAGAGGAAGGCGGTGACCGCAGGCCTGAGCCGTTTCCGAGATGGAGGGAAATGTTGGGAGTACATGGGAGTCACAGAGCAGTTACCACGACTGACCCCAGGCCCCCCAGGCTCCGGGCAGGAGCTGGGCAGGTGAAGGACAGGGCGGGAGACAGGGGTGCATGGGACTGGGGACAGACCGGAGGAAAGCCAGGGACCTGGCCGGTGACGGATATAAACAGGACACATCAGTCAGGGATATTTCTGTCCTGATGAGAACTCGACAAAACCTAATGGCCTCGAGACAGGTGGTGGCCTGAGGCTCCGGGGAGGGAGTGGGGAGCCCCAGCCCCACCACTGCTGCCCCAGGGGCTGGTGACCCCGCTGGGAGCTGGTGAAACCCTCGGGCTCTTTCTGGATGCTTGAGGCCACTTGTCGTGCTGATGAAATGAAAATTTCAGATTAGTGGGTGTGGCAAGTGCCGGTGGACAAATCATTTTCTTGTCCCTCTCTCGCTCGGCTTTTCCATTTGTAGAAAAGGAAGCGCGATGCTCAGGCACCTCTTAGAATTTTTATAAGTAGGGTTGTGATGCAAATTGCAAGTATCCAGTATTGTTTTGGATTTCAATACTATCCCTAGTCCATCAATATATTGAACTAGGAGCGACAAAGTGGACACTAAAATAAGTGTAATAATGTTCCCTTAAAAGTGAATTGTTGGTTAATTACTGAATTCATCACTGGATGGTAGAGATGCTCACCAGCGACCCAATTTCTTTATGTGTGATTCCTTTCCATTTTCATTGATCTTTTAATAGGCACTTGATTTTCGAGATACGGATTAAAAATAAATCACTGAACACTATAAATCATTACCTTCCTAAAATAAAAATACAATTCAAACTCCTTGAAATTTAAAATAATACATCTACTTTAGCTTCCTGGNTAGGCACTTGATTTTCGAGATACGGATTAAAAATAAATCACTGAACACTAATAAATCATTACCTTCCTAAAATAAAAATACAATTCAAACTCCTTGGAATTTAAAATAATACATCTACTTTAGCTTCCTGGCTCTGTCTCTGATTTGTGTTTATAATTTACATCCATAAAGCACCTTCCATGCCACGCCCCTCNTTCCATGCCACGCGCCTCCCCAAGTCCAAACTATTTGGCAAAGATATCACCACGCTGTAGGCAAGTAGAGCCACTCAGCGTCCTAGCCANAGTCCAAACTATTTGGCAAAGATATCACCACGCTGTAGGCAAGTAAAGCCGCTCAGCGTCCTAGCCGAGCCCCGAGGAAGACAGGCCTGATACCTGCACGGCCCTGGGTCCGGCGCCCTCAGAAGATTTGCATTTCAGAGGCGCCTGCACTGGGACCAGCTTCCTCCACTAGTTCAGCCACCAGAATTTTAAGGAAACAACCTTCATTCATTCAACAAATACTTCTGAATAGCTTTGTGCAGTATCCTCATGCCAATATTGGATAAAATGGTAAACGTGGAAGCCACGGGCACAAATCCTGACAAGTGCTAAGACGGAAGCAGACAGTGATTGGGGCGCGGCCTGCTTCAGACAGGGAGTCAGGGGCCCTGTGGCACACAGNAGCCCCGAGGAAGACAGGCCTGATACCTGCACGGCCCTGGGTCCGGCGCCCTCAGAAGATTTGCATTTCAGAGGCGCCTGCACTGGGACCAGTTTCCTCCACTAGTTCAGCCACCAGAATTTTAAGGAAACAACCTTCATTCATTCAACAAATACTTCTGAATAGCTTTGTGCAGTATCCTCATGCCAATATTGGATAAAATGGTAAACGTGGAAGCCACGGGCACAAATCCTGACAAGTGCTAAGACGGAAGCAGACAGTGATTGGGGCGCGGCCTGCTTCAGACGGAGCCAGGGGCCCTGCNAAATCCTGACAAGTGCTAAGACGGAAGCAGACAGTGATTGGGGCGCGGCCTGCTTCAGACAGGGAGTCAGGGGCCCTGTGGCACACAGGCTGAGAGCGCACCCGCCACTGACGAGCCAGGACCCTGGCGCTGGTGGGGAGCGTCCCCAGCAGAGGACAGCACGTGCTCGGTGGCCCCAGGTTGGTGAAGAGCTTCCTTCACTCAAGCCACCAGCTAAAATCCGTGTGACTGGGAGATTATGAGCGATGGACGATGAAGGCCATGGTCAGGAGCTTGGGTTTTATTCTGGCTTCAAGGGGAAGTCCTTGAAATTTTCAGCAGGAAGCTGGCGATATCCAAATCGCGTACTGAGAAAGCGAGTCTCGCGGCGGTAAGGACAGGGCCTAGGTTCAGGCGGTTGGCAGAGGAACTTCTACTTGAAGAGGGTATTCGGAGGTGGAACTGAAGGCTGTGGGGACCGATTGGCTGTGGGTCAGAGAAGTGAAGGAATCCCCCCAGTTCTGCTTCCCTGAGGTGGGCAAGGCGGTAGGAAGGGGAAGATGGAGACGTGGAACCCGGGGTTCAGTTCCGAACGCGTTTGATGTGCCTGACGCGCTGAGAAAGAGGTAAGTGAGGATTTGGAAATGTGAGCGGGATCTCGGTGGAGATGGGGCCAGGGGTCAGAGACGGAGAGAGAAATTTGGAGTCGCTGGCACGCAGATGATATTTTGAATTCATGGCACTCGAGGGACCATGACTGACCCTAAGAAGCACCAACATTTGGGAACCAGGTAAAAGAGCGGCAACCAGCAAAGGAGACCCCGAAGGAGCCTCAAGCAGCGTAGAAGAAAATCCAGAGATGTGCGGCGTCCCGGGGTGCGTTCTGATGAGCTTTGGAAGGAAGGTGCACAAGCAGACCTCCTGGCTACCGTCACCTCCCCGGCTATTGTCACCTCAGGGGTGTCTCTTGGCATGAAGGCATCTTCCTCGGGCTTCGCTCCAGAAGCTTTCCTTGGCATCATAGGCTTGTTCACTTCCAAGTTAGCGATGAATGTAAAGCCATCTAACTCAATCCGGAAAGTCACTTTTTCAATTATTTGGGTCCAGTCAGCTCACTAACTGCGCAGTGGATCGAACCCAGAGCCGGACAGTGAGACGTCAGCCTTCCCTTCCGCTGGCCGCAGAGCCGCCCGGACGCCCCTCTTCGGGGCGGGCTCGTGGGCCCGGCGGGGTCAGCACCACTCCGGGCTCTAGAGTGACGGGTGAAGTGGCCGGTGCCCGCAGGCAGCCATGCCCTCTACCCGGCGCCCGGCGGGAGCGTGTGCTCGGGGGGCCTGTTGCACGGCCTCCAGAAGCCTCTGCCGGCGCCCAAAGATCCCGGCAGGGCGACCCGCTCGCAGGGTCTGCTTCGCGGTGGCACCCATCCTGCCAGCCGCTGCCGTGGGCCACCGCGTGCGGAAGGGACAGAGAGCCAGTCGGTTTTCACCTCCTGTCCAGAAGATCCCACAGCTACTGGGAGTGGAGACTCTTCCTGGCATCCTGGCATCTGAGCCATCTGGGGGACAAATCATGAATCACAATCCAGGGCACAGCTGCCGGCAGCTCTAATTATATTCCGTCGGTCGTCGTTTGGTCCCTTCCTCCCGCGTCTGACTGCAGCCGCCCTGACGACCATTTTTCGGTGCAGCCGGAGAGGTGCAGCCCTTTCTCCAGCCAATCGACTGCAGTGGTCAATGGCAGGCGACCCGGCGAAGGAAACATCATTAGCGACAGAAGAGAGAACACAGACAGCCCTGTGGCCGGCACCCCACGGAGGCTGTCACCCCACAGGGGCCGTCACCAGTTCCCTCCCTCCCCCGGCTGACTACCTGGAAATGAACAAAAATAAAGCCAAGATTTCTGAGAATTTAAGGAGGTCTAATTCTAAAAAGTCTAATACATATAGAAAATAGGGCATCCTGTGCACAGCAAGGGGAACTGGATTAGTCAGAAGTTTGCGTTTCTCTAGAAGGTTATTTTAGGTTTTTTTTAATCCAAGGAAGTGCTATAATAAACTGGTTTTCATTAATTTCCAAAAGATGACCTAGGAAGAGTGAGCTGAATTTTTTTAGTAAAGGGGGAGAAAGACAGTGGAGACATCTCGGTGTCGGGAAAGGGAGTCTCTGAGGCCCGCGCCGAGCTCCGAGGCAGGATGCTGGGCTTCCCGCCTGCGTGGAGCTCAGCAAAGGACTGGGCGTCTTGTGACTCGGTGGCCTCGCCTGCCGCTTCCCTGGCGAGGGTCGGCCGGGGCAGCGACAGAGTAGCCATTCAGTGGCCGGTGTCTCAGATCAGGTCCCTCTCCTCCAAGGGGACTCAGAGAACGGCCCAGGGAAGGACCCCCGGGTGCTTGTGCTGAGACTTCACGGAAGCCAGAGGGGCCCCCCCTCGGCCTGCCGGCTGCTCTTGCCGCTGTGCCTGAGCGCCCCCTGGAGGACACTCTGGAAACTTCTGCTGCGGAACCAGAGCAGCCTCCCTCCCGTCTCAGGGGACTTGGTAGCTGCCACACGCTCTGGATGCTGACAAGCGTGACTCATTCCAACAGGACGTTTGCCAGTTGTCTCAGATTTAGTTTTACCCAGCACCCTGTACTTCAGATTGCTTGCAGTTTTGACATTTAGATTCCTGCTTGCTTTCCTTTCTCATGAAAGCGTGAGGCTCGCACATCACTGTGAGGCCCCCTGTGCCTCCCTCCTCCACAGGGCAGGCCTTTCGAGAGGTTTTCCAGGGGTGGGGTATGTAGGGACAGTGCCTTCCCAGCCGGGCCCCCCCTCAGGGGGCACCCCTGTTTACCATGCAGGCAGTGGCCAGGGAGAAGGGGAAGCTACCTGGCCCCTGAGGTACTTGAACCTGCGACCCCTCCTTCACTGCAGAACAGTGTTCTGCCCAGCCCGAGCCTTTGTAACAGACGGCCTACACCAGCAAGATACGGCCTCTATTTGATGAGTAGCCCCTGTTCTTTTTTATTTATTGATTTTATTGTTGAGAGTACTTAAGAGAATCCACGAACACACACACGCACACCAAATAACTGGCTCCCCCAATAAGTAAAATATAAACCATAGTAGGGAATTGAGATTTCACCTAGATGAGTCATACTAACGGAAGGTGTTTTCACTATATTCTGATGAAATGTGGGAGAAAATTTTTTATTTCTTTCCCTGAGGTGCAGAGTAGGGTGCTTTGTTAATATCAACATTTATTTTCCAAAAAACAATGGCAAACGTTACGTTGTCCACTCTGAATTACCTCAGTGATCATCTGTCTGTGGCTAATCCACATTATGAAAGTAGATCTAGAAATCTGCGGACTGCTTTCGAGAGCAGCGCCAGCAGCCCCAGTCGGCCGTGAGTGTTAACCCGCGCTCAGGCGCACCGACGCTCCCGGTGATGCCAACAAGCAGCGCGCAGTGGTCTCGAGAAGCCGCTGCTGAGCTCACCCGAGGGGGTTCTGCAGGGACCGAGTCCACACGACGCATCGGTCACACTCCTCCACGTTACTCCTCTTTATAAAATGCTGTCCAGTGTTGATGAGTGGGAAAAGCTGGCTGGCTTGGCTCAGTGGTTAGAGTATCAGCCTGTGCACAAAGGGTCACGGGTTCGATTCCCGGTCCAGGGCATGTACCTGGGTTGCAGGTTCAGTCCCCAGCCCTGGTTGATGTGTCTCTCGCTCCCTCTTCCTCTCCCTCTCCCTTCCTCCCTTCCATTCTCTCTAAAATATCCTTGGGTGAAGATTGACGACCACAAAAAACAGCCCTTGGAAATAAGACGGCGGATCAGCGTTTGTTCCTTTTCGGCACTGGGGCTCGTGCCCCTTCACTGCTCCTCTGTACACGTCACACTCACGGGGACGGGGACATTTCTCCCGGCCTAGCGCTAACGCGTCTCAGCTCTGCGGTAAGAATGCAACAGGGTCCTTTCAGTGCCAGGACACGGTGGGTGGAAAGGAGTCTGGGGAGACGTGGGTCCCATCCTCAAGGGAACCGAGTAAGGATCTGCTGGTGACGGATATGGGACTATCCATCTGAACCGCTTCCCGAGGGCATGAAGCGCTCTGCGACTACTGACAGCATCGGCTCGAGGTCAGATGCTTTTCTTACAAACTTGACAATATTAAAAGAAAAGTCATGCATTCGTAGGCATAGGTCTTCTCTCAGGTGTTGTATGTACTTTTTAATCACCAAAAGTCACCAGGCACATAAGTTAAAGTATTTCTCTTCCTTTAGAGAAGGAACCGTGTGCTCCAACGCTCCTGGGTGTATCATAAATAAAGTCATTTCTTATCAATCCTGTAGCTAATGGACAGAGAGGCACGTGGATGTACATGCCCATCAGTCCCGCCCGGAAGGCAGTAGGCAGGAATCTCTAAAGCGTTACTGGGCTTTGTCCGTAGCCTAACATCTTCCTGGGTAAAAGCTACGGTCGTAGCAGAAAAATTGCTTCACTAAATTAAATAGACAAATACTGTCATCAAATCAGAAAATAGCCAATTACTTAAGAGCAATTTATTTAAAATAGAAAAGCAATTTATGTAGGTAAAAGCATCCTGTATCGCTCCATTATTAAGTCCCTTGTGACTAACAATTTTTTTAGGGTTCTTTCCTTGACACTTGGTGGAGTTAGATTTCATTCATTCATCCTACAGCTATTATGTACCATCTATGGACACAGTATTGTGCTCAATTCAGGAGGCACGGGTATGTGAAAGGAGGGGTGCAAAGAGCGTACAGCGAGAGCCACTCTGGACCTCATCTCATTCAGCTTCTCGGTGGATAGCACTCGACACAAACAGCCATTCCCTCCTCTGGTTGTTTAACACGCTCCCCGGGTCCTTTCTCAGTGTAGCAGGGGGCACTCGAGGCAAGACTTAGTGAGTAAGGTCTCCGAGGAGTCCGCGAAACGACCGCTAATGTGAGATCTCTCCATTGCATAAGCTGTCTCGTATTCACCACGCGCTGAAATATCCTCATTTTATACCTTGATAACTGCATAGCTCATGACGTTCTCCAGAGAGCCTTTCCCCACGATTCGCACCCTGGCTCGCTTGCCAGTAGCTCTGACTTGGCCTTCCGCTCCCCACGCGGTCCCTCTGCTCCAGCTGCCCCGCCTCAGACAAGCCAGGGGCATGGTGGCCTCTGGGCCTGCCTGGCGCTGGAGCCGTCCCCCGGGCGGCCGCGTGGCCTGCTCTCCTAATCTAGCCTCGGTGCCTGTTTCACCGCCGGGGGCAAGGCTTTCCTGTCCACAACCACCTCTTTACCTTGTAATCCCGTGGTCGCTGGAGCCTCCCTCCTCTCTGATTTTCATTCTCCTTCCCGCGTGTCCCCGCCTGAAACACGATGCAGGTGACCCTTTCAGGATCTATTGTCACAGTGCTGTAGATGAGCCCGGAGACGTCTATCCTGCTGGAGGCTGTATTCCCAGCAGCCACAGCAGTGCCTGGCACAGAGTGGCTCCCCCTAAATGTTGCAGAAACTAATAGCCGAGCAAGTGCACCGGATTTGAGCCTAGTCTGGAGGAGAATATGACCCGATGATGCGAGGACAATACGCTAGAGCTGCAACCAGCAAGGCTGGGCCCTGGGCTAGGGCGTCCGGGTTTATCCTGCAGGCGGGGGAAACCGTCAGAGGAACTGAGCCACGCAGGGCCCAGAGGACTGAGTCGGGCATAAAGAAATCATGCTCTCAGAGTAAGAACAGTGGTGGAGGAAACTTGGCCTTTGTCATTAGTCTCAGCCGAGTGTGCACAGGGACGTCGTGTGGGCGGCTAACAGTCACCCCGGGTGGGATACTGGGACCTATTTCCAAAATGGTCTTAGAACCCAGTGGGCTCCTGAGCGGAGACCTGAGGATACCCTCAATTGCCGGTGATGCATTGCAAGTGTCTGTAACTACACTCCCTAAAATTTGTACAGAAAAACACTATTAAATGAAGTCGATGGAAGAGGTATTAAAAAAACACACATCACACCAGCCCTAGCCGGGTTGCTCAGTGGTTAGAGTGTCTGCCCACCAACGGAAGCGTCCTGGGTTCGAGTTCTGCCAAGGGTATGTCCCTCAGTTGCAGGCTCAGTCCCCAGCCTGGTCGGGGCACGTGCGGGAGGCCGCCGGCTGATGTGTCTGTCTCACATGGACGTTCCTCTCTCTCTCTCTCCCTCTCCCACTCTCTCTGAAAAGCAATGGGAAAAAAATCCTTCAGTGAGGATTAAAAAACAAACAAACGAAAACGAAAACACCAAACTTTGCAAAATCTATTTTCTGAGGACAAGTTTCTAGAAGCACAAAGAGTAAATGCCTCTCTTACCTGCGCTCCCAGCTGGAACTGAGAGCCTGGACCTCGGGCCACCCCCAGCCACCCCGTCCCCATTTGTCGCTGAGGCAGATTAGCTAGGAGGCCCACGCCGTGTGCGCAGACTGTGCAGGCCTGGCCTACAGCGCCCCAGTACACCTGCCCTCGTTTTAAAACCCTCTCTCTCTCTGCAGTACAACCGGTACCAGCTCTACGGCGCCGAGGAGTGCGTGCTGCAGATGGGCGGCGTGCTGTGCCCCGGCCCTGGCTGCGGGGCCGGGCTGCTCCCGGAGCCCCAGCAGCGGAAGGTCACATGCGAAGGGGGCGACGGCCTGGGCTGTGGGGTGAGTACCGCGGCGCCCGGCGTCGGTGTTGCGTGTGTTTGTTTGCTACGGCTAACGGGCTTGGGTTACACACGTGCTTTATTCTCGCGTGGACTCAGATATCTTTAAACTGATGTATAAGGAAATACAGGTAAAACTTCTATACAAAGGATTCCAGATGTGATGATAGATAGATGATAGATAGATGGTAGATGATAGATAGATGATAGATAGATGGTAGATGATAGATAGATGATAGATAGATAGATGATAGATAGATAGATAGATAGATAGATAGATAGATAGATAGATAGATAGATAGATAGATGGATGATAGGTCTATTTTTTGGAGGGGGGAAAGGTGGCCTGCTTTCATTAGTTCTCGCAGTGTTGACTCTAAGACCTGGTGAGTCCCTAGGCCAGTCTTTTAAACGCTTCTTCCGGTGCTCAGCTGACTCAGAGCAGAAATTGATTATTTCTTCCAAGGCTTTCAGTAGATGGGAGTGAAGGGGGAAGGCAGTCCCCCCTCGGCGATGTCTTAGCAATGCTGTTGGCCTAAGTATTTCAAGAAATAAAATGAAGATTAATGTGGAAAACTGGAAATGCTATCGTGTCATAAAAATCATTCCAAACAGAGACGAGCAAAACTAATGGTGCCTCTCAGGGAAGCAGAGTAAGAAACATGGGAAGCGGTTGTTCTAAGAGGTCGGCCAGCGCGGCCCAGCCGGCTCCTCCGCCCAATCTGGCTGCGAGCTGATGGCGCAGGGCTGAGGGGAGGGCGACTCGGAGGCGAAAGGCTTACTGCATTATAAATTGAAATGACAAATGGGTGATGCTGCTGACATTAAATTTCATGCAGGCAGAAAAGGAAGAGAGTTGTATCTGCTTATAAAAGACTATTGAATTTAATGGGAAAACATTTTTTTTGCATGGCAACTTCTCGAGGGCTTTGTGGGCAAATGGGTGTCGGTGGCAGGGGCGGATTGCAGGCCTGATTTGGGGCTGAGCGCAGTGAGTCACCTGAGCGTAAGTCGGCATCTGTCGCCCTGTGTAAAGCTGTCTATCTGTCACAAGGTGGAAGCTGAAAAATAGCGAGACGCCATGTGCCTAAGCGGAAAGGAATACCTCCGCACCAACGACGGCGATTGCGTCAGCCTGCGAGCTCAAGGCAGGGGCACCGGCCTTAGAAATTGTGGAAATCAAACCACACCTTCCAGCCTCAGCCGCCGTCACCGACTCTAATCGATGCTGACTGTGTGGGGCCTGAGCAGGCAGCCAAGTCCCGGGATCACAATACTAGCGAGTGTTTTCCTTCAGAATGAGTTACAGCCATTTTCAACTGACAGCTAAATCGTGTGCTTCTTCCTGCTAATCGCCCACTGCCGTTTCATTCTCTAAAGATGGATTTTAAGATCTTAACTTCCCCCCCGGCTGGTGTGGCTCAGTTGGTTGGGCCTTGGCCCGTGCACCCCAAGGTTGCCTGTCGGGGCGCGTGCCTGGGGTTGTGGGTTTGATCTGGTAGGGGGCGTGCAGGAGGCAGCCGATCGATGTTTCTCTCTCCCTCTCCCTTCCTCTGTCTCTCTCTAAAAAAATCAATGAAAAATCTTTTAAAAAGATCTTAACTTTCTTTATGCGGTGGGGAGTTTTTTGGGCCCATCTTCCGCATTCGGTTGTTCAACTTGCTTTAAAGAAGGGTTAGGTGTCTTTAAGTTCAAATCCTGACTCTTAGTTTTTGTGTCTGGGCCGCCTCATCTTTAAAATCTGTTATAGTGGCATATATAAGACTACCACAAACAGTAAATAGCGGAGCAGATACAAAGTGCTTAGAACAGTGTCTGGCATTAAGTGTATATTTATTAAATCAAAAGCTTAATTTATCAAAAGCTCCCCTAGAACACCCAATATTTATGGAAAATTACTTACGGGGCATTTGTTTGAGCCTTCCTTCCAAATATTCTAGAATCTAGAATATACCCCTGGACCAAGGCAGATCTACAGCAGGGAATTGGGTTCCCAGGCCTCACTATTTTAGCCCTTCCAAGAACTGCTTTTCCTGCATAGCACTTTGGCATAGTGCCTTTTGTTTATATCGCGGTCATTTTACGGGAAATCTGATGCAAGTGGTTTAGGACGTCCCAGTGGACTTTTCTGTGGGAACCGTGTGGCTGTTCCAGGCTGATGTTAGCAATAGGAGCGCTTCTGCTCATCCTGGGGAAAGCTGTCCTTGAGGACACTGGGAATGGTGCAGCTCAAGGTTCCCCTCTGGGAGCCGGGGGCCTTGGGGTGGGCTCTCTCTGGCCCACGCTCGGCGTTACGGAGATGCACCTCAAAGGAAACCTCCTACCTTCTCCTTTCCTATTCTTCCTCGGCTGCTTTTCCCGACGTGCGCCGTTTTGCTGTGACTTGTGCATCCTGTTAGCTGCCAGTCTTTTCTGGGCTGAGGATGGTGATGGAAGCCACTGCGTGTACGGCATCGTGGTTAGTTACTGCTGTTTCCGTAGCAGAGCAGGTCCCAGTAAGTGGACGTCAGAAGACGATGAACCTCTGCTCCGTGTTTGCTCTAACACTGTAGACAACAACTGCAAAACGGGCTGCCTCGGGGAGGAGCGAGCCCCTCGTCCCGCACGGTGTTCAAGGGGAGTCGTGGGTAGCAAAGCTGTGGCGGGATCACAGAGTCCTGGACGTGGGAGAAGCCCAGCTCCCATTAGCCTCCGTGGTTCTCGGCTGTAGTTCACAGGTTGACTGTAAGATACCTGCGCATCCACTGAGCTTCATTTTCCCCCAACTATCAAGAGATCCAAAAAGTACAACTCTTATCATATGGCAATATGCTTGATGTATGTATCTCACATGTAAATGCTTGACGTATGTATCTCATATGTAAAGGTTAAGAACCAAATTCCCTGTCGTTCGAGGAACTTAAATATTAAGCCCTAGAGGTCTCTGTGAGAGGCCCATAGACACCCACTCTCAGAGCTGAGACACGCCCATGTGGGTGCCCAGGCTTGTATGTTTCTAATCTGCTGGTCAGTCAGGCCCCATCACGCGCCTGAGTGGTCCCCACACCCGTGATTGCTGGTGTATCTAGTTTCCATCTGAAGAAACAGACGTCAGCATTATGAGCGTCTTTGGCTTCTTTAAAATAGGTGCTCAGGTTAGTATTTGTGAGTCTCTCATTCAAGCTTCTGGTCATGTCCTTTGGAAACTGGATTACCTGGTCCTGGGCTCTACTATGTCACTAGGCTTAACTGTTACTTGGGGAGCAGTGTGTATTAGTAATCAATGAAACGGGACTTCTATGTAAATGATAATGTGGGTCCATCTAGGACAGGTCTGATAGACGTGTGAAGGTCTTCATTAAATTCATGTAGTGGGGGTTCAGCATTCACTGAATGAATGGATGGATGGATGGGTGAATCTTAACAATGTAGAGTAATATGAAAGCACTATCACTTTCATTTTCAAATATTAATTACCATTTATCCAGTACTAGAATTGCTTACCTTGCCTCAGCAAGAACCTCTTCAAAAAACATTTAAATACCTTTATGTACTTATACAATATACAGGGTTTTATATGCACATATAATAATATGTAATTCAGAATACCAAAATGTACTAAGTTCCGAGATCCACGAAAATTCAGTTAGGAACCAGAAAGCACTGTGAAAGTTAAAGAGTTTAGGTTCCCTACAACAGGCCGCAGGGCCAAATAGAGAGTTTTGTACATTCTCATACATAAAAGTCTCAGCGTTGGGAGCAAGGAGAGTTTAGCTCTGACACAGCACAGAACATTCTTACAGCGATCGGCGGAGCTCAGTGGAGAAAATATCTGGGGATCAAGTTGCCTGACTCGCTCTCTGCCAACCTTTGATCATATTTTTACTCCTGCTTGTAAAAGTATTAATTGATTTCCTACGGAATTCATGTTACGCTCTGTTCTTTTCTCTGCTTATTGCTATTTATCAGAACTCTCTCGCTCACATTTATGGCTCCAAAGTAAAATGTTGACATGCTTAACACTGGAAAACAGCAGCGAAATATGGACTACAGTATACTCAGTGACCCGGGGACCGGAAAGCTGTGGCAGTCGGACCTTGTGAATTTCCTGTAATAAAACATCTTCATCTCGCGGGGTGGTGGTTGGGGACATTGTGTGTCTGGGAGATCATGTCTTAAAATAATACCAGTAATTGGATGAAGAGTTTTCTGTCTTAAATGAGAAATCCAAGGACAAGATTTAACAACTGCAAAAATAATAATAATAATACATATTTAAATAAAAACCAATGATTTTTTAAAAGTCATATTACTGGCCATTAGTTAAGGAAATAAAATAGAATTTCTTTTATTTTAATTCTATTTTTTTAAAAAACATATCTTTATTGATTCAGAGAGTGGAAGGGAGAAGGAGAGACAGAGATAGAAACATCAATGATGAGAGACAAACATCACTGATGGGCTGCCTCCCGCATGCCCTCTACTAGGGGGTCGAGCCCACAACCCGGGCATGTGCCCTGACCGGGAATCGAACCTCGATCTCCTGATCATAGGTCAATGCTCAACCACTGAGCCACACTAGCCGGGCAAAATAGAATTTCTTAAGGCCTCTGATAGTCACTCCCTCCTTTAATGAATACTGTGAGTAGCTCCCAGGCCGATTTCTCAGGAACCAGTGAAGCGTGGGCCTCGGGCTCCCCCCTCACACAGGCCCCCAGAACCAAGTGTGTACTTTGCTTGGTTGCCCTTGAAGAGGGTCTTCAAATCTATAGGACCTGATGTTACAAAGGGCCCATCACTCCTGGTTCTGGACCTACGCAAGTATGAGGCCCAGCCTGCTCTGTACAAGAAAGTTTTTGTTGAAAATAGTGCTTTTAAGCTACTTATAACAATAGCATTAAGATATCCTTAAAGGTTTTAGTTCAGCGAGATTCATTTTCAGGCCCTCTATAGGAAAGGGGTCGATGAAGACAAATGGGGACACTTAGTCTCTCACTCAAAGACATAACTAATTACTGAGTT